GCGGCTTTTGTTCCCACAGGTCCTGCTGCGGGTCAAAGAGTCGGAAATCCAGTACCTGAAGCAGGAGATCAGCTCTCTCAAAGATGAGCTGCAGACAGCACTGAGGGTAATGCCAGCGACGGGCCTGTTTCTGCAGATCCTCTTTATGGGCTGTTCCCTGCTCCTTGTCTGTGTGGGTTTAGGTTTCAGCTCACTTATCCCCACATTGGAAGCAACATTTAATTTTTCCCCTGAATGGAATTGAATACCCATTTTGGTGTCGTCAGTAAAGCGCTCCATGACTGTATCAGCTTAGGACTTGGCCCTTCTCCCTTCTTGTGGGAAAACATCCCCTTCAGCCTTTTTCTCTATTCCCTGTCACATCAGATCAGATTTGAAATGGCAAAAATGGCAAAAAGTGTTAGAGATCTGCCCAGCCTCCCAGCATCCGATCTGGTTGGCTCTGGATGGCCTCTTTGCCAAGGCTGTTTCTGGGAATTCTACTTGAATTCCGTGTCTTTGCTAAAATTAAAACCCACAAACGAGTAGTCAGGGCTGTAAGGTGGGGGCTGCATGTGGCCGCTGGGCTCGCAGCCTTCTGCCCATCTCGAGCCCCGTACTGCTGTTAGACACAGCTTTGAGAGCGTATGCGAAACGCGTGCTCCCGGCCGAGCGTTTCGCCCCGCTGCCGGCTCCTCTTCCGTCGGCGTTTGCCAAGCTCCTCGTCAGTGCATTCACAACCCCCTTGGCTCCAGCTGTACGTCTGACTCCGTCGGGTTGTTCTCGTTCCTTTGCCAGGATAAGAAATACGCCAGCGACAAGTACAAAGACATCTACACGGAGCTGAGCATCGTGAAGGCCAAGGCAGACTGTGATATCAGCAGGTTGAAAGAGCAGCTGAAAGCAGCCACGGAAGCTCAGGGAGAGAAATCCCCTGTGAACACCACTGTATCGGGATATGGTCAGTCCTCGCGGGTTTCCCGAGCTAATACGTGCATCCTGACATACAAACCCCTGTGCAGTAACGGCTCTGAGCGGTGCTTTTCCGTTTCACGCTGCTTCCCGCCTCCGCTCCTTGCAGACAGTCTCACCGGAGGTGGCAGGGACCGGGCGGACCTGAATTGCCCTCCTGTGGCAGTTCCTCCTTCCAGCCCCGCAGATGGGAAGCTGGTGGGCTTTGAAAACCTTCTGGCATTTTGCATTGGGAAAACCACATGCTACGCGCGGTGCAGGGGAGCAGAGAGCCCCGGAGAATCCCCTCTGCCCTTCGGCAGCGCTGCTGGAGCGGGGCTCATCGGGGCACTCGCCTGGGCTGGGAGGGCAGGAGAGCCCCAGCCCTGCTCCTCGCAGGAGGGCGGTGGGTACCGCACTAACACTCTTTTCTTTTGCTTCTCTCCAGATATTATGAAATCAAAAAGCAACCCTGATTTCTTGAAGAAAGACAGATCCAGTGTTAGCCGGCAACTAAGGAATATCAGGTCAAAGGTGAGCTCAGATCTCCTGCCCCGTGCGATGGGAATGCCCAGCGTTACTCTCCGGTGGGAAGAAATTGGTAGGGGAAGAAAACTGAGAGTTTCCCAGTTACTAGTTCTAGCCTGGATGGCACTGGGGACAAAAGTCAGCTTCCCTCACCATGCCCTGAGGCACACACGCTCCTGACCCTGCTGAGATGGAGGCGTGAATCCATTCCCCACTTCGAAAAGGATGAAGTTCACCTTCTTCTCTGGTCTTTCACAGGAGGACTCTCCCAGTATTTGCTCCCCATTTTCAGTCGAAATTTAGGTGGTGTCGATAGGTGGAAACGTGCACAGGATTTGAGGTTTTACTGTGTTTATCACTTTTGGCCTTGAGATGGAACAACGATGCCTCGGTCCTGGGCACGTCTAACATGCACTTTGCTTGTGTGTTAGCATGGTGCAGATGGCCCTGGCTCTGGTCTGTACTTGCTGTTGGTCCCAAAGCCCAGCCAAGCTGTGCCAAGCTCGCCCGCTTGGCTTGCGGAACGCCAGAGATCAGCATGTTACGCCCTGGCTGTTCCAATAAAAAGGGCCAAATAAAGCTGCTGAGAAGTCATCGTTAAACGTAGGTCAGTTGGAAGGACGATCAGCATGGGCAAAACCTGCTTTGCCTCTCACCACTGGATATCTGGTGTCTCATGCTGATGTTTGAAGTGGTGGGCAGAGCAAGAAGCCAGACAGGCAAAAGGCTTCTAGCTCGGTGCCCGTGCTGGGGAAACGGTCACCACCCGAGCTCTGTGAGCAGGTCTTTGGCTCGGGGGGATCTGCGCTGCACCGAGTAAACGCAGAAAGCATCTCTGCGCCTTCCAGGGACAGCCCAGACCTGCTGGGCCAGGTCTGACACTGGGTTTCCCTTCACCACTTGGACTCAGCCTGTTTATCTTGTCCCGTGTCCATGTGTTGCTTGGTGGGGGAAGGAGACGAGAGCAAGCATGGGCTCTGCGTGGGCGCGCTGCCTGCTCGCGCCGCCGCCGGGCCGGGGGGGCTGGGGCTGTGCGAACGCCAATGCATTTAGGATTTATGAGCTTCTTGTTTTGTTTTTGTTTTGTTTTGTTTGTTTTCTTTATTTTGCTTTTTCCTCCAACAGTCCGTTATTGAGCAGGTCTCATGGGATAACTGAAATGAACCCGAGTCCAGGTTCCCTGCCACGTAGGTAAACACACCGGCACCCACCAAGCGACGCAGCTGCCCACTGGAGTGGCCCACTTTTGCATGCACTGCTCACGCCTCCATGGCAAACGAGAGCCCTTCTTCTCTTACTGACCAACTGGTTTATTTACGGCTGATTGTTTTGCTGGGGGAGTGGGAATGGGAGGGGAGAAGTCAGCAGACCCAAAATCCCAATGAAACGCAGTCTCTCTGCCTTTTCCCTTGGGAATACGGCTTTCTTGTCTCCCTGCTCCTCCCACCCTCGCCAACACAGCTAACCCTCACGGAGAGGATTTGGACACGGTGGGGCACGTTTTCCTGTTTGCTGTGTTGGGAGCGCGGGACGCTGACTGTGCATGCTTGAACGACTCTGCACGCCTCAGACTAAACTACAGCAACATCCAGGTCTTGTAGGAAAAGCAGCCGTTCTGCTGTTAGCCACGCGGAGGGAGGAGTGGGTCCATGGTGCCTATAAACACATTTCCCACAAAGGCCAGTAGCATGTGAAATAGTGGCCCCCATCTCAGCTGCAGAGGGGATGTCCTGGGCTGCCCTAAATTTCCTTTACCCATAATCTCTGCTTCTTTAGGTTCATCTGTGCCTGAGCGTGAGTGTGCTCCTTGCCCGGTAACCTCCTCCTCCTCTCCAGGCTTCCTCCAGCTCCCCAGGATCCACCCCACTGCTCCATCCCTGCGCTTCTATCCCACACACTGGTGTGAGGCTTCTGAGCTCATCCAGCAAAGCTGATGAGAAACGAGGCCGATCCTAATGACCCAAATATTTCGAGTAACTGGAGCAATAGTTAAATTTACTGGCCCGTGGTAAAGGCTGAGGTTAGAGCACCCGCAGAGGGAGGCTGGAGAAGAGAAGGGAACTCCCCAGCATGGTGGCAGACGGGTGGCTGGAGACCCCCAGGAAGTCTGATGGAGGATCCCTTTATCACAAATTTCACCCTACATTAGTCCCCCCTAATCAGCAACTCAAATGGGTTGTGAGACAACCTCAGGGCTGCATTTACTGGAATTTATACCGTCAGGCAGAACAGCCTAATGGTTTCTGCTGTCTCCTTCCATCTAACGAGAAATCAGATGTGCAACCTGCCATGCATGGGTTGCTGCCCGTTTAAAGAGGCCCAAAGTAAACTTCCTTTAGGAAGTGTGTGTGCTCGGAGACTGGCATCCCAAGAGACTGTGATGCTGGTTGAAAGGAAAGCGTTACGGCATTTGTAAATTCACACCAATCCGTTCCAGCGCTTTCATTTCCGTGCTGCTTCGCAAAGCCTCTCTGTGTTTGTGGGCAGGTGGGGAGGAGAAATGTTGAAAGAAATAGAGTAACCATGGGAATCTGCACGGCCTCGGGGCACGTTTATCCTGGAGTCCTGCCTTGATAAACACACGTGAAACAAAACCCAACCCAAAAGTATAACCTGGACAGTCCTCTGGCAGGGAAGTAGACCTGAAAGAGGAGATGGCTGCCCGTTAATAGAAGGGGTTTTGTGTACAGCTCCGTGCCTTTTGAAGCTCTTACGTCTTGATCTGCAAAGCAAAATAATGTTCCGGCTGCAGAGTGGCTTGCAGGCAGCGATTCCTTGTAGGATCCGTGCAGGCAGCTGTCCCAGAACACGGTGCAGCCCAGCAATGAAAAGCTTTACAGTGCCCAAGTCCTCTCTTTAACCCTGTGCAGTAGAGGTGGCTTTGGCTTAGGGCTGGGGTTAGAGAAAGGGTGGGATTGGTGCTGGTAACAAAAAAAAATGCAATTTTCAAGGCTGCTCGAGCAAAACCTGCACCTTGACCGGAGCCAGGACAGAGGCACCATAGGTCCTCCCCGCCTGCCCGCACCGCCGCGGCCCCGACTCGAACGTGCCGAAGCTCCGCTGAAATTGCCCCAGCCACCGCTGCAGGGTTATTTTTCCGAGTCGAGCTCCTCCCGCTTGCAGCATGGTGTGCCTCTCACTCGCTTCCAGTCCGTCGCCCGGTTCATTCGCAATCTCACCCTCTCTCTCGGCACCATTTACCAGTAACACCCCCACCCTGCTCCGTAACCGTGTGTTTTCTCTTAGCATGTCCCACTAATCTCTCCACCGAGGAGGCCATTCTCCCGCTGCCCACGTCTCCTTTGCCTGAGCACCGCACCCTTTTCTTGCGTGCCACGTGCCCGCCGCCGGTGCCCGATGCTCTCTTGTCTTTTTTCTCTCCCAGAGCCTGAAGGAAGGCCTGACTGTGCAAGAACGCCTGAAGCTTTTTGAATCCAGGGACTTGAAGAAAGACTAGTTCTCCCCGCTCCGCTTGACCACGCGCACCTCCCAGCTTGAGGCAGCACAGCACCAGCACCGTTCGTCTCTCGTTCCTTTTACGACTGTCCTCGCCGTCGTTCGTCTCGACGCCCCCGATGGGACCCGGCGCCACGGTGGCAGTGCCCTCCCCGCCGCCCCTTCGCCTCCCCGGCACCTTTCCCTGCTTGTGAGATGCTCCGGAGACTCTGAGAGGGAGAGGAAGGGATCGGGGTGGGGTTTTTTCCCCTCCTCTCTTCGGCGCTTTGTAGGAGAATCCTTCCTTTACTGTAAACCATTACACTAAGTGTCAGTATTAAGGCTCAGTAGCCTGTTAATAAGCTAGCTCTGTCGTACCAACCGTTTTGGTAGGCAAGCAGGGCCTGGGTGGTATCGGCCATACCGAGCTCTTACTGCTGTCAAGAGACCCAGTGCTCAGAGCACGCCAGGAGCCTAATCTATCCGTTGATCTGGATTGCGTTACTTGCACCTACGAGGTGGGGGGAAAGGCCGGGGGAAGCTGTCGGGGAGCGCAAGTCCGTGCGGGCGTACGCAGCTTCGGAGGTACAACACTGACATCTCGCTGGAGAAGGATGCAAGACGTGATTCTCCTGCCCCGTGACTGTGCCGTGTCCTGAATGTAGGTGATCCCGAAGCCCGGCGAGCTTCGGTGGCTGCCAGGTGGTTACGGATAGGGAGCTGCAGATCCTTACGTGCACCGTCGAGGCCGTCCCAGCGACATGTCTTTGCCTCCCGTCTCGCTGATGGTTGGAGTCGGTGTTTCGGGGGCCGAGCTGTAAGATCACTTTCTTGCCTCTGTTAGATCAAGCCCAGCACTGTTTTTTGTTTTGTTTTTTTTTTTTTTTGGCTGTTACTCCCTTCCTCTCATTGAGTCCCGTGTATCCCAGGGTCTGTGCGCATGTGAAACTCCCTTTTCCTAGTCAAAGGAAAGTAGAGTAGAAAGTAGAGCCAATATTGACTGAAAATGCACAGTGCTCAATGCATATAATGCTCCTTTTTTATCAGCTTCTTGAATTCAACTCTTCTTGTCAGCAGGGCAGCTCTTATTTTAATTCTTTAATCTTTTCCTGAAATAAAAATCTCAAAACCAGTATGTGCTTCAGACCTTCTCAGTCCTAACAGCTTTTGCATTTAAAGCATACGATTTAGCACTGTGAGGCCGGTAAAAGGACCCAAACTCAAAGTGAGCTGAAGGAGCTGGTAGCACTAGAGGCAGCGCCTGGCCAGTCAAGCGGAGGCTGTTGTCCTAGAAGAAGCCTACGTTGCTTTGCAGCATTGGAGCTACCCCGGCATGGTGGTTTCATCCCGGGCTAACAAAAGCACTTTGAGATGCCACCTGTAAAGACTCCAGAACCTCACCGGTGGCCCTGGCCGGAGCAGGGCTGAAGCAGCGCTCCGGCGTGTTGGCGTCCCAGCCCTGTTTAGCTGCCGAGCGACCCGCAGCGCATCGGGCTGGGCTGTTAAAGAATGCCCCGGCCTTCGCGTGGAGCAAAGCTTCCTCTTGTCTTTCAGGCGCTTAACCGACAGTCGAAGCAGGCGGCTCCGTGTGCTTTCGTGGCTGATTTTGGGTCCGTTAGGCAGGCAGTAGAAGCGCGGCCCTCGGAGCAAACTCTCGCTGCAGTTCTGGAGCAGAGCAGGGCTGGTGACAGCCATCTCCAGTCCTGCCAGGCTGGACCACGGCGGATGCTGGAGAGCTCGCCCTCGTCCTCCCACTTGGAAAAGCCACCGGACCCTTAGCAGGAGGTGGTGTCGTCTACCCGCAATGTGACTCAGGCTCTGGTCCAGCTCGCGTGGCCTTGCCATGGCCAAGCGCTTGGCTTGATGCCTCCTGGGCCACTCGCGGCAGCACGTGGCAGCGCTCCGGTCCTGCCCGTAGGAACCTGCTTGTCCCCAGCCCAGATGCCGGCGCCATGCAGCAGGCAGAATGCCTATGGGGATGCCCTCCCGCTGCGATGCTCTGTGGTCTGTGCCTGGGTGTACGTGGAGGTCCTGGAGACAGAAGCAGGGTAGGAAAGATGTTCAACCCCTCGGATACAAAGGCTTTTCCCTCATCAGCAGGCACGTGCCCTCTACGATGTTTTGATGTGCAACCATTCACCCTAATCCCAGTTCACCACAGTGCTGTCCGCAGTCTACGTGTTGGAGGACCCGGTAGCCTTCCCAGCCGTGACCCACCTGAACCACTTCTCCGATCAGCCATCAGCTTCTTCCAGGAGTCTCGTTGCTGCTTCTTACCTTGTGTTTGCTTTCACCCATCAGTCAGCTGTCACCTCAGTCCGCCTCCCATCCCACCATGGAGGAACATGGCCTGTGCACCCAAAGCCGCTCACTACCAGCTTCTCGCCTGCATGATGGGAGTCCGAACTGGGGAGCCTCAAAGTGGAGATGGTCACCTTACCGCTGTCCTGGGGATGTGGAAAGAGCTGCTCTCACCACGCCGAGCTAGCTAATGGCCAGCTGAAGAATAGCCTGCTGTTGATAAACCCATGGATGTTGGTATGCTTAGCAGTAGCTTTTTGTAGCCATGGCATAGGGTCCAGCGTCCCTTCCAGCTGAGGAGATCCAGATGCAGTGTCCCTGGTTGTAGCCCTACCCAAATTCAGCCTTCCCCAGGTGAAGCGCGTACATGTTGTGCTTAGAAGTCCACTTCTGGAAGAAGAGAGTCTCACAGCACCTGGGAATGGAACACTTCAGTGG